CCACAGACACACTTGCACGTAATGGCGTTGAATGAGGGGGTCCGGTCTGGTTCAGCGTTCAACGACGATCACGTAAACACATACCCAGTCTCCCCTAAACACTGTTTACGTTTACTGCAGATGTACTGGTCCGTCTCGACCATACTCACCTGGCTTCTGTACGCCAGAGGGAGGCGGGTCGGGGATATTTCGTTCAGATCTTGAGTTGTACAGTTGAATACCATTGCGTCGAGCTCTGACGTGTCGGATTCTCGTTTAATTGTGTCGAACTGGCGATCTCGTCCCGGCAAAGTCCGCTTTCTTTATTATTATTTGAACCGAATCTGATTTGTCGATGTGTCGATTAACTCGAAGTTATTTTGTTGTTCAAAATAAAAAATGCACTAAATTGTTCCGATAAGTACGAATTGAAAATTGAAAATATGTTATTGCTAGTTTAACATAAACTATTCAATACTGCAAGCTACTGTAGTTCCTTTCGTGTTGTGAATTGCGTTGAGAATCTGTTTCGAATGTTTCACACACTCGGATAAGTCGTACATTTTCTCAGATTCTTTTGAGACGGCGTTCAACTGCATAAGGATTGATCGATTACATAGGTAAGGTTGTGCCTTGGTTCAAGCCTTGAAGCACACAGTAGACTACTATTTAGTGTCCCGTGAAAATCCAGGTTAGAATTGGTCTTTAGCAACCCATGCTTGTCGTAAGAGGCTCCTAACGGGATCGGGTGGTCTGACTTGGTTGATGCATGTCATCAAATCCCAATTGCGTAAATGTCACGCTAGGAACCTATGATCGTGGTTTGAATCCCGGTTCGCCTCGATTATGTTTCTAGGTTTGTCAGCACCATACCCGTGCTCATGGGTTTCACCGAAGTGGTAAACGTCTGAGACCTGCATCACTTCGGATTTTCTTCCCAGATTAAGCTGACACGCCGTGATATAAGTGGAATACTAATAAAAACGGCGTTAAGCCAAACTCACTCACCAGATTCACGCATTACTATTTCCAACTTTACTGTGCTAACCTGTGACCTGATTGATCGTGTGTCGCGACGCAGAGTGAGTGCGTGCTCATTGTATCAACCACCGGTGCTAGATTCGGGTTCGACTGCATCACAAGGAATGTTGTATCGATATTCGATATTTTCAGCTACAGCACCAGAACCAGATAGGGCTTTTTGAAATGGTTGAATTCCCCCACAGAGCGCATTAGTTTCAATGTTATCCTTTGCATCTGGTTTACAATTATTGCAAACCCTCCTATAGAGCGTACTTGTCTTTGAAACTTGGTGAACTTGATGTTTCAAACGTACAATGTTTTAAAATCAAAGACAAGAAATGAACGTTTTCATTATGGATGACGGGAATCGAACCTGCTACCGCACATATCGTGTTTAGTTTTGTAACCCACTGTTTTCCCACTGAGCCACACGTTCAGGTGATGAAAGGTTGTTCAATTTTTCATGTCATGAATCCGTTTGGTCCATGCTGCTCGTGGTTTTTCTCACACACGCTTTGATCGAATTCCTTTTATACCGCGACACACTGTATGGTATCTCGATTATTTCTTGTTATCTGTGTGATGAGTCGCTCTATAAGTTGGACAAACCACTTCTCGTAGGGATTACTTGAGATTGTAAACCCTGACATTCGGGAACATACCTCGGGGGCCGTGGTAGAAGTGGTTTCTCCTTTACATATTAACCACTGTTTCGTCTGGCCAGGGTTTCATCATTTTCATCATTTCCATATAGGCAGCCTAGTGGTTAAAGCGTTCGCTCGTCACGCCGAAGACCCGGGTTCGATTCCCGACATGGGTAAAATGTGTGAAGCCCATTTCTGGTGTCCCCAGCTGTGATATTGCTAGAATATTGCTAAAAGCGGCGTAAAAACATACTCTCTCAAACACTCACTCATCATTTACATATAGTCGTGAGTGAGTGAGTGAGTTGGGTTTCTGGTGTGCCCAAGGGACGCAACTCTGCACAGCGAATCGCGGCGCCTTAGACGACTGGGCCACCCGTGCCCCCACATATAGTCGTGATATGGCCGGAATAGATCTGATCTTTGCGCAAAACAACAGTGTCTCACACACTCCACTTGTTGTGACCTCAAAGATCTAACGTGAGACTACAGTGCTTGTGTGAAACCTCTTCAACGAACAAATCACGCCTCTCGGCGCCATGTTTGTCCAGCTTAAGTAGCTCGCGTTGATCCGAAAGATGATGGCATCTGTGAAAAAAACATCACCTTGTGAAACTGACCATCTTGACTTCTGTAACAACTCAAGATGTAAAAAGTCTGTTTTCTAGGGTCAAGTGTTTGCCCGGGCTGACTTGAAGCAGGCAAGCTACATGAAAGTGTCCGACATTAAACAAGCGTGTGTATTTACTATTGCTGTGTCTGCCTGTGGTCGACACTGACCTCCTTGTTGCAGACCCCGGCCCACTTCACCAGGTATTCCATTGATGGAACTCACCTAGAATTGCTATAATGTACTTTACACAGAAACCAAACGCAGTCTGTTGAAACTTACTTTGAGGAATGCAAACGCATTTGACTTGTGTCTGTGTGTGCATTGTGTGCGCGAGCTCGGATACAGTGTTTTTAGAAAAGGAGGCGCATTTAATATCCATTAATGCCAGATTATGTTTTTCGTCTAACTTCTTATTGAATGATTTTATTATTTAATTGAATGATTGTTTTATACATCTATATATTTGGTAAGCTTTAAAAACGGCTGATCGGCACCCCTGCTATCCCTCTGTGCTGTATCAGGGTCTAGTGGTTGGGGGGGGGGGGGGGGGGGGGGGGGGTGAATGAGTAATCTGAATCTGCACCCATTGATTTATTTTGTTTGTAAATTGAAATGCACGGTATAAAATACTAAAAAGTAACAAAAGTTAATTGCAGGAATATAGCAATTATTAATAGCCAATTCATAGCGTCGTTTACAAAGTCGTTGATAGGTAACATGGCATCGCTTTTATTCGCAAAGTCTAGAACTACTCTTTGTGATGTAGAAACACGTGATCACCGCTCGGTAGACAGGTGTGGAACGATGCTCAACTATCTAAATATTATCTTTTGTTGACTTATAAATAGAATTTGTCAATCATATTTTTCATCAAAAGTATCAAAGCGAATGTTAGACATGTGAACGTGGTAAAGTACGCATTGTGCGGACATTCCTGGCTGTGTCGATCACTACGAACTGTCTCGGCGGTGAGATTTTGTCGCCGACATGAAGAACACTGAAGCGCACGTAAAATACTTTGAAAGCGGCCCGTATCGTTTCTCCTTATTTCAGTGTTAGACTTACACTGATGACATTCATATTTGTTTGTTTGTTGTTTTACGCCGCACTCAGCACTATTCCATATGACATCAATAGGCGGATCCAGAGAGGATCCAGTGGGTTCGAGCCCCACCTTTTGAAAACCAAATAGTATGTTGTAGGCAGTAAAGTTATCTGAGAGGATTTTGATAGCTTGGACCCCTCCCTTTTAAAAATGCTGGATCCACCCTTGACATTTCATTTGTTTCCTTCTGGGGATCTCCATTCTAGAAGGCGGCTTCAGGTAAAGATATGGCTAAAATATATACCCAGACTGGAACGATTCCTCACCGATGCATCACGGCATCATTGTTGGCGAAATGTTCATCCGCTTCATTTCTTAACGATACATAATTTGTGCAGATGTATATTTGTATCATCATTTCTGTTAATATCTGCTCATTTACAGTTTTGAAAACTAGTACTATTGATACTGGTGTTATATTTATCACTTGAAATATAACTATTATATTTAAATTATTGTCAATGTTATGCCTGATACAAAATATATTCATGCTACTGTCCAATGGCGTAAGTGTCGGCCCTCGGATGGTAGCTCAGGGTGATGACGAATGACAAAACTCAGGGGTCAAGTTTAAGACGACAGCAGCCATGTTGATTGTTGATAGTTTGGAATAAGTCGAAAAGGCACATGTTGATAATAACGTGACAGAGCGCACACCGGGACCGAGTGGCCAATGTTCCCGGATTGAGACTCGCTCTGTCACTTACCTTCTGGCTGTCTCTCTGACTTACCATGTCAGTCGGGTTTTGTAGAGCGAGGTATTACGTAACGAGAGGCAAGGTCATTGTCACACGTGTATGTATATACGTAAGATCCGGCGACGTAAGGAGGTGTTAATTGAAATTTATAGCTAGCGCTGGAGATTAAGGGTCCTGCCCGGAGGGCCTAATGATAAGAGGGAATACGCCGAATGTTTGCTGAATATATTAAACAGAAAACGGGCATAGAATTTCGGTGCACTTGGAAATATATTGAACCAGTTAGGTATTTAGATAAATGAAATGTTTAATAAGTATTGAAATGGTTTGCACTATTTTAAATAAAAGTATTGAAATGGTTTGCACTATAACAATACTTTACAAATAAATATTATATTGTTAGAAATGTATCGCGATACGCAACTATTGTCATTTAGATGTGTTCTATCTATAAAACAATATGAAGGGTCTCACGTAACCAAATACTGCCGATGTGACGCACTCACTCACTCTCACATAAACAAATGATAAGTACATGCTGTTGTCGGCGACAAAACTCACGGTGTAACATAAATAACAGACCCGTGAAGATACGGGGTAGAATAGGTCTACCATGCTATGATTGATGAAAAGGCGACTATGCTTGCCGTAAGAGGCTGCTAACGAGATCGGGTTGTCAGACTCGCTGACGTGGCTGATGCATGTCATTGTATCCCAATTGCGTGGATCGATGCTCGTTATGTCAATCACTGGATTGCCTGGTCCAGATTCAATTATTTACAGACCGCCGTCATATAGCTGGAATATATAGCGGCGTTAAACTACAAACTAACATCAATAACAATTCAGCGGTGTCTTTCCAGCATCACCTATGAACTTAATTAACTAACTTTTACAATTTTATACATTTGTCTTTTAAAAATTATATCCTTTTTCAGGTTTTTCCAGGATTACCCCGAAGACAAAGCCTTCTTTGAAGCATTCAAGGACAAGAAACCGGAAGAACTTGGTGATAACCCAAAAATGCGTGCGCACGCTTCGACGGTGATGCATGCGCTGACCTCGGTTGTGGATAACTTGGATGATCCCGAATGCCTCATTGACATCCTCAAGAAAAACGCCCAGAGTCATTTTGGACGAAACATCAGGATCCAACAGTACAAGGTAGGCCAGATCTGTGACGTCACGGGTTGTCCCACTCACTCGCTTACGCAACTTCGCGCGTTTGGATTTTAATTGATATGTTTGAATATTTTAAGAGAGCAGTGCAAATGTCGGATGCAATACGTTATTCCATAAGTTTTGAGACATAAGGGGTTAAGGTATTCATCCCTAACAACGAGCCATTCTGCCACCAGAGGGCCCTTTACACTGCTAATTTTCTCCGTCTCTGCACATGCATATTTGCAAATTTGTTGATTTTTTTCCGATGGAAATAATTATTTGCGTCAGCAAAGAGGTAACGTAATTGACTCTCTTGCGTCCCTTAGCGGCGACAGGATCCTATGATCGAGGTTTCCAATTCCAGATTCTCCCTGATTCTTGGTTCGCCAGCACCATGCGGATGGGAAACCTGCAACACTTTCCTCCTGTATCAAGCTGACGCGCCGTGATATGCTGTTCACAACGGAGTTAAACTCACTCACTCACTGATTGTGTTAACACAAGTTAAATGTCTGATAGTGGGGTTTTTTTCATTTCAGGATCTGTTCGAGACCTTCATCCGATTCCTGCAGGAAGGTCTGGGGGACAAGTGCACAGACCTGACCAAAGAGTCGTGGGAGAAAGCTCTCGGTGTCGTGGTTTCAGTCATTGAGAGTGAAATGACAGCATTATCAAATGGCCCTACCAAGTAAACGAACTGTTCTGGAACCATAGCTTTGTGACGTCACACTATTCGTCAGAGACGGTTTGCGCCACATCAGCGTTCTCTACGTTACCATGAAACAACGTGAGACAATTGTCTCAGGGTGGATGTCTCAGAGAAGTGGTATCATTTCCTGGGTATCTTTGAATTGTATCATCACCAATTAAATGTAATCAACCGTAGTGTGTAGCACTGACGTGGTGCTGGTGGGTTCGAATCCCGGATTCGCCCTGATTATCGTCCAAGGTTTGTCAGCACCGTACCCATGCACGTGGGTTTCCCCAAGTAAACGTCACTTCGAGTTTTCCTCCCACAAGCTGACACGCAGTGGTATAACTGGAATACTGTTCACTGCAGCGTCTGGGGCGGTCGGGTAGCCTCGTGGTTAAAGCGTTCGTTCGTCACGCCGAAGACCCGGGTTCGATTCCCGACATGGGTACAATGTGTGAAGCCCATTTCTGGTGTCCCCCGCCGTGATATTGCTGGAATACTGCTAGAAACGGCGTAAAACCATACTCACTGATTTACTGCGGTGTTAAGCAAATATCACTCATCCCCACTGACTTGGTGTGTCTATTGGTGAACGCAGGTTTAAAAGCTATCATCTGTGACCAAAGACCTGTGGGTACTAAGGTTTAAACGATATATAAATGGAACATGTTGAAGCGTTCCGTCAGATCATCACTTGTGAATTATTATTCTACACCACCGATATGTGGATAGGAATATGCTAATTGTGATATGAAAGTCATACTAAACATGTCCTATGTTTCATGTAAGGTTTATAAAACATATATTTACTTCTAGTTAAATGTTGTTTAATTTGCAATATTTCAAATGACAAACTGGTCAAAAACAGATTGATGGCACGTTTAAATAACCTTCACCTTGCGTGACCTTTGATATATTTTAGACATAGTTCAAACGTCTGGGACAATAGAATTGTTTGAGTACAAATTCTCAGCAATAGGTACAAAATACACACACAGGAAACGGAGTCACGTGTTTATCATGCTTTCCGAGTTCAGGACAGGGAAGGTACCACGTGACCGAAGATTTCATGATATGGAAGATTGCGGGTCTATATAGTGCAGTGTTTTCATACTAAATGTACAATATCGTTATTCATATCCTGACATTTACGCCTCTGGGTCATGTGTATTTGATTGTGTGGAATAGTACTGTCTCAACTTATCGTCTTCATCCTGTGGAAACGGTGCCGTATGATTTGTGTCCTTTAAAAATAGAAATTAATTGCTTCCCACTTTCAACATACATATATAAAACACGATGCTATATTTCGTAAATTATTAAATTAATTTAATAAAAGGTATCGTTAGATTGGAATCATACATTTGTCATATTAGGTACTGTTAAATTGATTTAATTGATTTAATGTATCTTTTGACGAGTATTCAAAATTATTGCTTGGTGAAATTAGTAGAACAATCTTGATGAATGGGATGTTGTCACTGTGTGCTGAAGGCATTACACAACGCCCTGTGACATGTAAAATTGTCGTACACGAACGTATGTTGCACATTGAATCGTAGTTACTGTAATGTACACAAGTACATGGTGTTTTAGTCAGTTCATGGTACACCGTAATCTATCACCTGCACATCTCGATTAATAATTATTTTATCTTTTCGTGGATGTGGGATTTTTTACTGTCCAACTACGACATTGAAAGAGTAACAGGTTGTCTAAAATACTTTGAAGAGTCGCGTCCCTTAGACGTGCAAGGATCCGTGGTTGTGGTTTCAAACATCATACCCGTATTCGATGTTATTTCCAAAGTGAAAGATGTATAAGACCGTATCAATTTCGGGCTTTTTCTCCAAATCAATATCACCTTGTCTTCAAATTTTTGGCCAGACTGATGAAAAAGGAGGAATAAGTTATTCCTTGCCCTGGTATCAGTGCAGAGGAGTGAAGTATACATTGATAACCGAAACTTACATGGAACGCTTGAGGCTAATGTAAAGAGTTGCGTCCCTTAGTCGCGCCAGAACCCAGTGGTCGTTTCATTTCAGACAAATGTGACTGTTTCATTCACAAGACCTCTTTCACATACCAAATGCGGCAACGCAAAGCTGAGAGAACTAAATGACTCAAATGCTGATCCAAGTTATATGAAAAGTGCCCAGCTGCACAGGTTACGGATGGAAACCCGGAAACAGATATTGTTTCTGTACGCATGCGTTGATGGTGTACCCTGGTCAGTGACGTAATGAGTTTTGTATAATTGTAACCACCATTATGATCATATTTGTTTGCGACATCAAGCTGTTCCGCACACTGCAGTGAAAATCTAATGTGCCTAAAGGAGCTGACCTTCACCTCTGCGCAAGGTTCAAGGTTTACGTCTTTGCTGTCGCCTAGTTTGTGTATATAACATGATATAATGCTGAACACAGTTACATTGTAACATTGTTACACAAAGCCTATTCCTTTAAAACAATGAAGGTTACGCCCAGGTCATGTACAAGATGTTGTGCTTTTTGTATCTTTGAACGATGTGTTTGTTAAGTGGCACCAAATGTTGTGTTCAAGGACATGCTGTAACCCTTGGTATTTAACAGACATGCTGGAACGCCTGTTGATTAAGGACGAGATGTAAAGCCAATTTGTCCAAGGATATACTGTAACACCTGTTTGTTCAAGGACGTGGTGTTACGACAGCTTGCTCAAGGGCGTGATGTTACGACTTCTTGTTCAAGGACATACAATAACACCTGTTTGTTCAAGGACGTGCTGTAACGCCTGTTTGTCCAAGGACGCGCTGTAACGCCTGTTTGTCCAAGGACGCGCTGTAACGCCTGTTTGTCCAAGGGCGTGCTGCAACGACTGTTTGTCCAAGGACATGTTGTAAAGCATTCTTGTCAAGGCATATGTTGTAACGCTAACACCTTGTAACTATGTATCTACAGAATCTTTCACATATTTGGACTGTAAATTTTTATCATTTTCAATTTTATATTTGTGTTGTCTCGTTAATTACTGACATTTTTATACTTTTGTGATATCTGGATATGTTGCTGTGGAAGAAATACACTGTACTATTATTGTCTACATGTCTTGTGTTTATATCATATCATACCCTACCAATCCCTTATAATGATATATACATAGGTACACGGTCCAACCCTCTGAGTGTCGTTTTGAATAATGGTTATACACAATAGATCATACACCCACCTACATGTCGCCCAAAGCGCTAAATCTCTCTGTCCAAGGATCCCTAGAACGTGAGTTCGAATCCGACATCACTAGTTTGTCTGTACTACCACACCCGTGCTCAAGGATTTCACAAAGGTGTAAGAGGCGACTAACGGGATCGGGTAGTCAGGCTCGCCGACTTGGTTGATGAATATCGTATCCAAATTGCGTGGATCGATGCTCATGATGTCAATTACTGGATTGTCTGGTCAAGAATCGATTATTTACAGACCAATGTGATATAGCTGGAATATTGCTGAGTGCGGCGTTAAACAACAAACAAACAAACAAACAAACAAACCAAGGTGGTAGACTCACTGGTTTGTCTGGTCAAGAATCGATTATTCAACAGACTATATATGGCTGGAATAATTCGGCGTTAAACAGCAAGGAAATACAATTGGAGTATTAATTGATCAAAATGGGTAAATGTTTACTCGATATTTACTGCCGGGGAAACGTATACACCTATGGTTGATGGCCGGGGAAACGTATACACCCATGGTTGATGGCCGGGGAAACGTATACACCCATGGTCGTTGGCCGGGGAAACGAATACACCCATGGTCGTTGGCCGGGGAAACGAATACACCCATGGTCGTTGGCCGGGGAAACGTATACACCAATTGTTTCTAGGCCGGGGAAACGTATACACCCATGGTCGATGGCCGGAGAAACGTATACACCCATGGTTGATGGCCAGGGAAACGTATACACCCATGGTTGATGGCCGGGGAAACGTATACACCAATTGTTTCTAGGCCGGGGAAACGTATACACCCATGGTCGATGGCCGGGGAAACGAATACACCCATGGTAGTTGGCCGGGGAAACGTATACTCCCATGGTTGATGGCCAGGGAAACGTATACACCCATTGTTTCTAGGCCGGGGAAACGTATACACCCATTGTTTCTAGGCCGGGGAAACGAATACACCCATTGTTTCTAGGCCGGGGAAACGTATACACCCATTGTTTCTAGGCCAGGGAAACGTATACACCCATTGTTTCTAGGCCGGGGAAACGTATACACCCATTGTTTCTAGGCCGGGGAAACGTATACACCCATGGTTGATGGCCGGGGAAACGTATACACCCATTGTTTCTAGGCCGGGGAAACGAATACACCCATGGTCGATGGCCGGGGAAACGTATACACCCATGGTCGTTGGCCGGGGAAACGTATACATCCATGGTTGATGGCCGGGGAAACGTATACACCCATTGTTTCTAGGCCGGGGAAACGTATACACCCATGGGTGATGGCCGGGGAAACGTATACACCCATGGGTGATGGCCAGGGAAACGAATACACCCATGGTCGATGGCCGGGGAAATGTATACACCCATTGTTTCTAGGCCGGGGAAACGTATACACCCATGGTTGATGGCCGGGGAAACGTATACACCCATGGTTGATGGCCAGGGAAACGAATACACCCATGGTTGATGGCCGGGGAAACGTATACACCCATGGGTGATGGCCAGGGAAACGTATACACCCATGGTTGATGGCCGGGGAAACGTATACACCCATGGTTGATGGCCGGGGAAACGTATACACCCATGGGTGATGGCCAGGGAAACGTATACACCCATGGTTGATTGCCGGGGAAACGTATACACCTATGGTTGATGGCCGGGGAAACGTATACACCAATGGTTGATGGCCGGGGAAACGTATACACCCATGGTTGATGGCCAGGGAAACGTATACACCCATGGTTGATGGCCGGGGAAACGTATACACCCATTGTTTTTAGGCCGGGGAAACGTATACACCCATGGTTGAAGGCCAGGGAAACGTATACACCCATGGTTGATGGCCGGGGAAACGTATACACCCATTGTTTCTAGGCCGGGGAAACGTATACACCCAATGGTTGATGGCCGGGGAAACGTATACACCCATGGTTGAAGGCCAGGGAAACGTATACACCCATGGTTGATGGCCGGGGAAACGTATACACCCATTGTTTCTAGGCCGGGGAAACGTATACACCCATGGGTGATGGCCAGGGAAACGAATACACCCATGGTCGATGGCCGGGGAAATGTATACACCCATTGTTTCTAGGCCGGGGAAACGTATACACCCATGGTTGATGGCCGGGGAAACGTATACACCCATGGTTGATGGCCAGGGAAACGAATACACCCATGGTCGATGGCCGGGGAAACGTATACACCCATGGGTGATGGCCAGGGAAACGTATACACCCATGGTTGATGGCCGGGGAAACGTATACACCCATGGTTGATGGCCGGGGAAAACGTATACACCCATGGGTGATGGCCAGGGAAACGTATACACCCATGGTTGATGGCCGGGGAAACGTATACACCTATGGTTGATGGCCGGGGAAACGTATACACCCATGGTTGATGGCCGGGGAAACGTATACACCCATGGTTGATGGCCAGGGAAACGTATACACCCATGGTCGATGGCCGGGGAAACGTATACACCCATTGTTTTTAGGCCGGGGAAACGCATACACCCATGGTTGAAGGCCAGGGAAACGTATACACCCATGGTTGATGGCCGGGGAAACGTATACACCCATTGTTTCTAGGCCGGGGAAACGTATACACCCATGGGTGATGGCCAGGGAAACGAATACACCCATGGTCGATGGCCGGGGAAATGTATACACCCATTGTTTCTAGGCCGGGGAAACGTATACACCCATGGTTGATTGCCGGGGAAACGTATACACCCATGGTTGATGGCCGGGGAAACGTATACACCCATGGTTGATGGCCAGGGAAACGTATACACCCATGGTTGATGGCCGGGGAAACGTATACACCCATTGTTTCTAGGCCAGGGAAACGTATACACCCATGGTTGATGGCCGGGGAAACGTATACACCCATGGTTGATGGCCAGGGAAACGAATACACCCATGGTTGATGGCCGGGGAAACGTATACACCCATGGGTGATGGCCAGGGAAACGTATACACCCATGGTTGATGGCCGGGGAAACGTATACACCCATGGTTGATGGCCGGGGAAACGTATACACCCATGGTTGATTGCCGGGGAAACGTATACACCCATGGTTGATGGCCGGGGAAACGTATACACCCATGGTTGATTGCCGGGGAAACGTATACACCCATGGTTGATGGCCAGGGAAACGTATACACCCATGGTTGATGGCCGGGGAAACGTATACACCCATTGTTTTTAGGCCGGGGAAACGTATACACCCATGGTTGAAGGCCAGGGAAACGTATACACCCATGGTTGATGGCCGGGGAAACGTATACACCCATTGTTTCTAGGCCGGGGAAACGTATACACCCATGGGTGATGGCCAGGGAAACGTATACACCAATGGTTGATGGCCGGGGAAACGTATACACCCACGGTTAATGGCTAAAAAAGAAACAAACTAAAAAATATTATTCGATGGGGATACATTTGATACGGGTTCATATTTGTGTTTTGGATGTTAGGTTTGCAGTTTTTCGGCGACTGTTTCCGGCCTAGTCACCTTGTGGTAACGTTTGTAATGTCGTGGTCAATTCCAGCTTTCAAGTGTATACTTTGTTTTGTCCGTCAGTTAAGTTCTGTTTGGATCATTCAAGTATCTGGGCGTGTGAAGTCCGCTATCCGAAAACAGAGTTGCCTCTCCTGGATCTGATGATCGTAGGATTCTAGGCGCAGTGAAGTGAAATGGAGTTTAATGTCGAGTTTAAGATTTTTGCACTTATATAGCCACGTGCGTGCACGCGCGCGAGCGTGCGTGCGTGCGTGCGTGCGTGTGTGTGGCTGCTTGTACTAGTCCGGACTAATGCCTCTTTTATAGTGCTTGCCCACTGAGATACCATGCCTCAGTTTGACATGAATACCCCACTCAGACACAGTATACTGACTCCGAGCCGACCAGTCCTTGTTTTAGCCCCTTAATGCCGAGCGCCAGCCAGAGTTACAACATGTATCATCTTTTAAGGTCTTTTGGTATGATGCGGCCTTGGATCGAAACCCCGACCTTCCGCTTTCCGGGCCGTAGGATTCTAGACCCAGGCAAACATCTACGCGTTAATTAACTGACTTGGACCCATACGGTATTGATAGCATCTCTCGGCTGGGGGTTACAGGTGAGACAGACTGCAACTGCGGACCATTTAATTCGCTGTTCGGGGTCCCGTTTGCGCGCTGGAATTGTATGGTTGTGTTTTTGATCCCAGAATCTCCCTGATTATCATTCACGTCACTCACGTCACTCACTCACGGCTGACACGCCGTGATACTAGTAACTGGAATACTGTTCATTGTGGCGCAAAACACTCACTCATTCATTCCTTCATCTGTACCCTTAAAATGGGTGTACAATAATGTAAATTGTCGAGCATCAGCAAAGAAATAAGACAACGTTGTTTTCCTTTCTGGAAGCGAAAGAGTGAGTGAGTGAGTGAGTTGGGTTTAACGCCGCTTTTAACAGTATTCCAGTCATTTCACAGCGTGTCAGCTTAAGCCCGAAAGCCCGAAGTGATGCAGGTCTCTGACATTTACTACTTTGTTGAAACCCACGAGCACGGGGATGGTGCTGACAAACCTAGAAACATATTCGAGGCGAACCGGGATTCGAACCCACAATCTGCACAGCGAATCGCGGCGCCTTAGACGACTGGGCCACCCGTGGCCCCTGGAAGCGAAAGAGCTGAAGTGAAGAAGTGGGTTTTGAGGAGAGACTTAAATGTTTCCTTAGAAGCAGAGTGTCTCAGATTCAAAGGCAAAGAGTTCCATAACTGTGGACTGCAAAAGGAGAAGGCAGGTCAGACATAGCAGAAGTAGACAGAGGCTGATACAGTAGAGTTCCACCAAAGGATCGGAGAG